ACGCAGTGGAGCGAACGGGACTCACCCAGTTGATGAGAGTTTTCGCGTGCGCCTGAAGGGCCGCCTGCAGTTCTTCGCCCTCCCCGCCCGAACGCGCAAACTCATTGACGAGTTGTCGAGTGTGCTTTAGGGCCTCCTCGTCGACAATCGGGGCAACAACACCCAGATAACGATTCAGTGTTGTTCGAAGTTCCGGCACGGGCAAACGCGGCAGCGGTTTCTTTATAGAGACGGAGAAAATGAGTGAGGAGAAGCAGAAGAACATGAGCAAATAAATGAAGCGCAAATACTTCTAACTTTTGCAATAAGGGAGAGCTGTGGACCTGCTGCAAAATTTCCGATACTCAAATCCTGTTGGATGCATTTGTGTGCATCCAATTCACGGATTAGGGTAGGCTCGTTTCGTTGGGACTAGGAATTATTCCTTTCTCTTATTCTTAGCAGCAAATTCCTCCTTAGTTAAAGGATCATATACTTCCAGTGGACAGACAACCAGCAATCACTTTAAAGGTATATAGCTTAAGGCATTAAACGATTCAGCGTTGTTCGAAGTTCAGGCACAGGCCAACGCGCCAGCGGTTTCTTTTATAAATACATATAGACGGAAAATTGAGAGAGGAGAAGTAGGAGAACATGAGTAAACAAATAATGTGTAAGTACTTCTAACTCAGGGAGAGCTAGGGATCGCCTGAGAGATTTCTAATATTCAAACCCTTTCGGGTGCATTTGTGTTCATCCAAGTCACGGATTAAGCTAAGCTTGTTTATTTGGCCTGAAGAAATAGGAGTTATTTCTTTCTCACATTTATGGCAGTACATGCCTTCCTAGTTAAAGGATCATACCCTTTCAAAGGACAGACAACCAGCAGAGATTTTAAAGGCAAATAGATTAAAGCATATGAAATTTGATCATAATATTTCATTTCAAACCACCTCAAGGGACAGGGATACAAGTATTTGGGTAGTTGATCACGATGATGGGTTTCCTGTGTCTGATTCTTAGATCATATGTACGGTCCTCGAATACCGCTGGTTTGATTCAAAGATTCCATGGTAGTGGGGAGAACTCACCGTAAGGTCCCAGTCTGGGTACTGATCTAGATCTTGCGAGGAAATCCGCCTTACGAATTCACGCACGTTATGCGCCATCTCCTCGGCCTCTATACCAGTGACTGCAGAAGAAGAATGAAAGAAAACGCAATAGTTCAAGAATTCGGACATACTAAGGAAAAATAAGCACTACAGGTTCACCCATGGTCCAAGAAAGATCACCCCATTTGCTTAGAGATTGGAGACTTACATATCACACTCACTAGACCAGAACGCATTATATGATTATGTGGTAATTGAACTGGGAAGAAGGCAGTCGACAGTCATATTTCAGGCTCTCTGCCTTGGAGTTTCTTCTTGCAAATGCATTAAACATACTTCAGTTGACACATCTTGTGTGATCAGCTTTACTGAGAGGTCACAGAACGTCTGCTGAGGCAATTAAATATAGCAGCAGAGCACATATCATAAGCTGCAGTTAAGGCCTAATAATCTTTCAGCATAAAGGCCCCTACAGGCCTTGAATACTGACCGTGTCTTCACGCAGAGCTCGCTATAAAGGGGGAGTGTGTGGTACGCGCCAAATGGAAACTTTGAACCATTCCCGTTTCAGTACACAATCTCAAATGCTCTAATTGGTTTCAATCTGTAACGGTAAACATTAGGAGGGCTAGGGGCTAGTGAGACTGGCTCCGAGATGCTCTGTCCTCTCTTGGAGGTTGACACATCCACGTCTGAGAAGCAGTACGTGCGTGGCACGCGTAGA